ACGGTGAAAAATAAAAGCAAAATAAAAAAAAAAAATCAAATTTTACTTCAAATGGTTGTACCTCTTTATTTTTTTTTTCCTTCTTAATTTGCAACAAATACATATGATTTGTCTATAGCAGTTAATTTAAACTTTCCATTGCTCTTTTTCTTCTTCACCAAAATAAACTAGAACAAAATTTTTGAGAGAACACTACACAGATGATCGTTTTTTTTTTCTTACGACTATTATTATCAACTACAGAGAATTATAAACAAAATCATTCTTGACAAAAAAGCAGAAGACAAAAAGCTGCCAACAGCAACAGCATCAACCACAAAACTCAGTCCGGAGAAGTCCTATAAAAAATTACAGCCTATAATAAGAGAAAGAAAATTAAATTAAAAGAAATGAAAAACTTAGATATGCTTAATGAGTTTTTTTTCTGCTAAAAAAAAACTTTGATGATTTCAATATTGGATAAATTTTTAGTCCGCTGTTTTCCTTTTTTTTTTTTTGCTTTTTTATAATTTTCCTTCTTCTTTTTCATTTGACAAACATTTAACTAACCGCTGAAAGTAAATGATTTTAAAAAATGTCTTTTTTTTTTTCCTTCTTCAGCATATCATCACCATCAGCCACATTTATCGTTTATCACTATTGTACAACAACCAACACCGAAAACCAGCAAAAATTAACAATAGCAGGAGCAGTAGCAGCAGCAGCAGCAACAGCAACAGCAACAGAAACAGCAACAGCAACAGCAACAGCAGTAACAGTAGTTCCAGGAACTGTTGCTGTTGTTTTTGCTGCTGCTGCTGCTGCCCGACTGAAGAATGATCAGTGATTTTTTTCCTTTGTCAAGTGGAAAACGGCGTTGTCTGAAAAGATGGTAGAAAAATCGACGAGATCGAAAAGCAGGTGTTCTTTTTTGCTTTAACTCTAAACATTAGATTCTTAAGCAGCCTAAGCAGTTGCATTGCCAACAGTAGCAATAACAACAACAACAACAACAACAACAACAACAACAGTGACAACAGCAGTAACAGCAATTACAGAATTTTTTTTTGCAAGTACGTTGTTCTTAGACAGCTGGTCAAGAAGATCACAACAAAAAAGAAGTGGAAATGGAAAAAAAAAACAAAGATTTTCCAGTTTATTGATAAACTAATTAACATACAGCAAAAAATGCTAAATTTTTTGGTTAATTTTAACAAAAAAAAACTACTTTTTTTGTATTATCATAATTAACTATAGGTTTTCTTTAAGTTTAATTTAAATCTTTCTCTGGGCTTCTCCCTTTCCCTTCGTTCACCTGTAACATCACTAACCGATGTGCAGCAACAATAAATTGAAAGGTGCTCTAACGAATAATTTTATACGTATCGCTTGCAACAATAACAGTAACCAACAAAATCACCCAATTAGTATGACAAATAATAAACCTTTACAGATTTGTTGTAGTCAAAAGAAAACAAAAAAAAAAAAAAAAAAAGCAGTGAGGAAAGGTGAAAAAAAAAGAGAAAGGCATATAAGCAAGCACTCTCTCTGGAGCCCACCTTTTTCCATGACAAAAATTTATAAATATGGCAAAACTAGTTGAAAATTTTCTGCTTGAAAAATACAACGACAATTTTTGAGACAGCAAAGATGACAAATTTTGTTGAAAATAGTATTACCACAAAGAAGTCATAGAAGAGAGCAAAAAAAAAAACTTTTTCTTCTTAATTCTTTAACGTTATTTTTTCACTTTTTTTTTTTTTTTTTTTTTGCCATGCAGTTACGTATGGTAGAATATATAAAAGCAAACTTTTTTTTTTTTTTGCTCCTAAGTCCCGATAGTCCCTCTCTGTCTCACTGTCTCTTTGTCCCCCTCCTTTACTACCCCTCTAAGCTGTTCTTTATTTGCGTGTGTCAACCTGTTTCGTTTATTTCTGAAACCATTCGTTCAGAAATGTGAAAGCATCAAAAACTGCATAGACATACTAACTTTTTGGGGAATCACGTTCTTCTGTACACAATTATGTTTCCTCTTCAAGTGTCTCTCCCACTCCACCTCTCCTGAACATCTAGTCAACATCAGCCACAGCAACGGCGACAGCAGCAAAACCCAGAAAAAAAAAAAAAAACGGGGTTTCCTTTGTTTTTACATTATATTACCAGTAACCATAAAAAAGAAAGTTATATCATAGACTACCTTTAATAATAACGGTTATGTAGAAGCACTTAAAGCTTCTTGAGTCAGAATTTAATGCAAAAATTGAAATTTAACTACTGTTACAATAGCACATGATCGACGGGCAATTACAACAACAATGAGATTTAATGAAGAAGACATTCAGTTTCATTATCATAATCATCTTACTAACTAAAATAACAATGATGTCAACAATAATGACGATGATGGTCTTGATATTGGTCGTGGATGGTGATGATGACGATGGTGGCATTGGTTGTTGATGATGTTAATGATGGCGGTTATTTGCGAGTGAAATAGTAGGGGGTTTAGTTGGCAACAAAGGTGCCCAGGTTGACATTGCCCAGGTTTTCAACGCTGAACACGTTGCACAGTTCAGTCAGTCCAATTTACTGGGAGACAAAGCAGAGAAAGGTGAGGAAAAAAAATCTAGGAGTTTTTTTTAAGTGCCATTTTACATTGGTTGGCTACGACTGCTCTACCAATGAACTGTTAAGTAGTTGAACTGCGCTGTAGACACGTCAAACAACACTTTTGGGGGCCAAAACAAACAAGCAAACTAGAGGAAAGTAGATGAGGAAAAAAATATGCTTTACCAAACTCCTATCAAGCACCTACCTAAGTTATAGTTCAAGCTGTTGCTTAATTGAAAAGTTTAATTTAGCTTTACTTTTCTTGCGTTTTACAGCAACTTTTACCACGCATCATCTCCCACTCGCATCAGTAGTTTTTACCTCTTTTCCTTCAGTGCTCAAAAAATCAGTGTCCTTTGAATGTGTACGTAAGTATCTGAGTATATTCAGTATATATGTGTATCGCATTTAATGAAAAGTATATTTGTAAAGAAAAGTAACAGTTTTTTTTTTTTAAATAAACGTTATTGATTATAATAAGAAGATAAAATGAAGTGAAAATAAAAGACAAGGGGAAAAAGTGATGATAATAATGAAAACTTTGGAATCACCTTTTCCCCTGACACTTCTTTAGAGACAAATAAAAATTTCTGCTCTTGTTTTTTTCTTCTCTTTTTTAAAATGATGAATTCGCGGTCCTAGTAAGTTTCTTTATTTATTTTATTTTCATTTTTTTTTCACTTGCATCAGCATCGTTTTAATGCAGAAACATTGCAGAAAACGAGGAGAAGGAAGAAAAGAAAAAAATCGGAAATTTACCACTGTAGATAAAATATGTGAGATGAATAAGCAAAGACGAAAAAAAAAAACAATCAAACAAAAAAAACAATTTGCTAAGCAAAAAAAAAACTGATCATTAATTTTTCAAAATTTTTTCTTTCTAATTTTCTTCTTCCATTTCCTCTCTTTTTCTTTTTTTTATTCTCTTCACAAATATCTTTTGACAGTAGTAGACTAAAAGTAAAAAAAGAGTAAAAAGCAAACAAATATGTTTTAAAAAAACAAAAAAGAAAAGAATTTTTTTCAACATTTTATCAACAGATATATATAATATAAAAAAACTTTATTTTATATATATATATATATATATATATATATATAAAAT